CGAAGAGCTTTCCAAACCAACTTTCAAAGATCAACCCTCCGGGACCCTTCAATGCCTGAAATCATGAAAGCTCTAAACCCCAAGCCGCCTCGCAAAAACTTGCATAAACATGAACCATAAGGGAGATTCATGTAAGGTTTGGCTCCACGGAGGAGATTGGGGCAACATCAGCAAAAGTGATCTGCAGACGATGCAGAGGAGGATGGGTCACAGGAGCCCGTGCAGAGCCGACAGTACTGAGTGTCTAAGTTTAAGGAACTTTGATGACACTGGCGGTGATCATGTCGGCGTTCAGAAGGATTGCTGGCCACATCAGCCCTCTTCACGGTTTTGGATAGACGTCGCAAGCCACCTACTGCTTGGCAACACATTATTGTCGCCGTTGCTGTCGAATCATGTTGCGATAGTGCTCCGTCCTATTCTGTGTGTTCTCGTTTGCGAGGCAGCTTCACAGAACTTGTTGTTATCATCATTACTACTTCGTACGGTTAGTCTGCTGACTGGTTCTCCTGTTTGGGCTGTTGAGGTCAGTGTCATCCTTGCAGCACGTTCTTCTGACACCTAGTTTTTGTTGCCTTTGCGCGGAGATGGTTGCTTTTTTGCCCGTACGCGGCTGCCAGGACCATCTGGATTGTCCCGCGAAGCCCTTGGAAGCTGTCATCTGGATGGGCACTTCAATGGGGATGCTGTCACAAGGAGGCCGCCGGGCTCAGGATTAACAGGTGCATGCATGTTGGCGTAAGGGCGGCTAAGGCTTTAGGGACTAAGCTTCAAAGTTTACCTTGGCTCCTGCTGTTACCTGCGGCCCTCAGGGTTTAGGGTTTAGGCGCCTAATTAATCCAGAGCCTTACAGCTCGTAAGCCCCCAGAGAATTTTGCTGTGCCTCGAGGCTAAGTGCACCACACACCCTGTACGTCTGAAACCTCCACGTTAAAATTGCACGAACGTGGTTGGGGATGATCATGCCTCGTTGATGATGTCTAATGCTTGCTGGGTAAGGAGCACGAGTGGAACAAGCAAGGCTTTGTGGCGCGGCCGCATTGGCATTGGCAGAGTGGACATGTCGGGTAGAACCTCGAAGCTCTGCCCCATGAACTTAAAGCCCTGTAGCTTTGAGGATGTAGGTCTGGGGTTTTAGGCATCAAGTTGCGTTTGAACAAGCTTATTTTTCGATTTCTGAATTGCAGATTCTGAGAGGCGAGCGTGGGCGGCAAGAGATGGGAATTGAAGCGATGTGGGGATCACAGCACAACGCAACACTCAGAAGGAGGTCTGAGAGGGCTGCAGCCTCACACCCTGTGATTGATTTAAATCATTTCAGATTGACAAGGCAGGCAGTCTTGCAAGTTTTCGGTAACTTTTGGATTGCAAACGGAGGATTGGGTCTCTAGCAAGGATTCCAAACAGGCACTTTTTGCGAAGCTCCCATAAAGTGCTTCGTGATGCTCGAAGTTTCCATGCGTGTACGGAAGGGCCAGCACTGGAATGTTGGGATCCCACCTGTAAACCACTACTTGACTGGCGTCTAATAGTGAATCTCTCAAAACCTGGTTCCTATTACAACCCTCCATATGGTGCCAAGGATTGGGAGGAGCTTTAGAATTGCAATCTAGAGGAACTCATTGGGAAGAAAGCATCACGAAAGGATGGCCCGGTGATAAAGCCGCGTGGCATTGCCATTACGCAGCACCATATAGAATATAGAAGTAAAACAAAGGATAGTCTTGGTATCATTAGAAATGCTGCTGGTTGCGCTTACGAACGGCTGCGCCCAGATCTGCGGCCACCTGCACCGCTCATTCCTGACAGCGTTCTCCCACTTTGTGCGCGACATGAGTGCGCACTACCAGGCGCTGCATTAGTCCTGGTTTGCTCACAAAATTGCCACTAGTGTTACTGGCAACATCCACAAATAAAGCTCTCATGACAGTAAAGCATCCGCGGCTGTTTTTCTCGACGGGCGACTCTTGAATGACGACCAGGACATTCAACAATCGCAATAGTGGTGACGTAGTCTCACTGCTGATGACTCAGCATTGGTCCATATGATAGCACGGCCGTCATGGAGCACGAATAGAACGTGATGAGCAGCCTCAGAAAGAGAGTATTTTCAGTTCCAAAATGGGAGATGCTCTTGCACGCGCACCCACTTGTGCGAAGTTGAGCTTCTCGTGGCATGGGAGTCCTTGCGTATGCTTGAGCGCAGTAGCAATCATCGTCATGGCATTGCATGCAAATAGCAACGCGTAGCAATAGAAAGCCCTTGTTTCTCAATGCGTGCGGAGGTGTTTTTGCTAGCAGCGGTTTTGGCAGTGGGCATTTCAGAGCTTATAAGGCAAGTTTCGCTGTGGTTATCGTCATGGCACACTGTAAGGTTCCCGAGCAGGCTTGATGCTTTCATGAGGCATTTTTGGCAGAGATTTCAACAAGAACCCGAGAGTTGGAGTTGTGAAAGTTTTGTGCCCTTGAAGCATTGCTTGTGAAATTTGTAACCACCGCACCCACTAGAGGTTCCCATCATATGGCCTTTTCTTGGAGACATCTCATCTTAAATGTTTACCCATATGCCCCTGAGGCTTAGTTCTTTCATAGCTCCATCGCCCTAAACCACCGTAAACCATGCGAGGCAGCCGCACCTGTTCTCCCGGAGACCACCGAAGCTGCAACTCACCTTAATCTTGAGGATGGTAGTAACGGTAGTACTAGACATGACAGCGAACGTGGAAGCTGAAGCATTTCTTCACGAGTCCCGTCAGCTCACGAAGAAAATCCGAAGGGCTGCGGTCGAGAAACCCTTCCGGTTTAGGGTTAAGGGTTTTGAGCCTGGCCCGACGGAGTTCGCATTCGTTGGCGAATTGGGTTGCGACCTACTCAAGTCTTCGACTCCTGGGCACTGGGTGACAGGGATCGTGTTAGGGTCCTGAGTCGGGATTAATTCTGCAGAGTGTGCCTCCTGCCTCTGACTTCCTCGCTTCCAGCCACCTCTCGACACAACCTGCGCATGCAAGGGCTCATCCTGCGTTGACTCCTGAAGTGCCCAGGTCCGAGGGCACCCGGCACTTCTATCTTGATGACGAGGCGTGAGTCTCTCTGGCTGGGGTCATCGCATTGGTTTCAAGAAGCTTCGAGGGAAGATAAGACATGCTCAAAATTATCGTTCTTTTCCAGCCTGAGGCTGGAGAGCGGTAGCCTGCCTTGAGACCTGGGGGTAAGGCTACAGGGTCTATGATTCAAGGTGTATGCAAGTCTGAAGGGTCATTCCTGAGAGTATCGAGGCTAGATTGAAGTTGTACCGAGGTTCACAATGAAGCAGGCTTCCTCCGTTTTGCATTCTTCTTTTAGACGAAGCTCCAGGGTCCCATGGACACGCCAGCAACAGATCATGTGCTTCCAGCAGGGGCTCATGGAGCTGTTGGCTGGAATGACAGCTGATTGCCAAGTAGAGTCCCCATCTTGAGTTATTTTTCGCCCAAGACCCCTTCAGCGTAGACAGACAGTGTTCTCATCAGTTGCGCGCGATATGCCGTTGGCCCTTCATCATGCAAACTGTAATGGCAGCACGACATGATGATGTGGACGTATATTGTACCATATTCCTATTCGGCAGGGAATGTTCAAGCTTCTGCTTTAGTCGCGTGATATGTAAAGCATAAAGCCCCTACCAAATCTCCCGGGGGTTTGCGTGGGTAAGAGATGTTGCAACTACTGGTGGGATATCCCCTGACCAAAACTGAAAAGACCTGGACTGTTTGCTTGATGTTTGTAGGGTCGCGGGGACAGACCATAGCAGACCCTCAAGCTTCCTAAGCGCAACAGTTTCATTGGAAAGGCTCGCAGGCCGGCAGTTTCGCGAACACAGCCAAGCAGCATATGAGTTGTTAGCAGGACTTTGTATTTCTTCAATGCCATGCAACACTGCTGAAGATCCCCAAGGCTGTCGAATGTGAGGCCACGACAGGCTTCCGGCAACGCATGTCCGCAGTAAAACCACATGTGGATGCAGGTTGTCGGCTGCGAGCTGCGCTGTTGGCGGCACACTGTGGATTTGGAGCAGCAAGCTGCTGGTTCAACATGATACTGTATGCCCGCCGAACTGTGCGAAAAAAACCGAGCGTCCGTTCCTTTGAATCCCTCCGTATGCACATGGCTGCGATGACATGGTTAGGAGCAACATGCTCGTCGTTTTGGGCAGCGGCACGTCCGACCTTCCGTGTTCCTGCATGTAGGGTGCAGCGGGAGGGTGCAGACATGCGCGGACAAGCTGTAAATCCAGCTGGTCCACATACACCATTTCCACGGTTTGTTCAAGTGACGCCGTTGATGCGTCAAGGATGGGCATTCGCGAAAGGCGACGGCATTCCCTGTACATTGGCAGCTAATGTTGACGACGCTACGTACATGAGTGCGCTGGCCCAAGCTCCTTTGCGTAGCCGTACTTGAGCTCAAAGGTCGAAGGCGCCACCTGAAGAGATGCACGCCGAACAAAATCTCGGAACTGTAGACAGCAAGCATGTACATCACTTGCAGGAGCCCTTGACGTGGGCTTTATCCACACAGAGCCCCGAAGCCAAATCTGGTATTTGCATTCCTTTCACGGATTACATTTTTGTGCTTGTAATCCTCCTTCAATTCCCTACAACCCCTGTTTACAGGACCCTATTCTGATGCACACCCTCACGCTTAGATTGAACACCACCTTTTGAAATCAAGGAGAGTCACGCTTCCTCCCCCCAATGAAGTATTAGTATTCCTTGCACTGATCCAATTTTTTTCGGTCGCCACGCCGCGGAGCCGCTCGCCAGCCTGGCATCGCTTCAGGCCAAGATGCCATGCGTTCAAAATCCTTTAATTTTAAATCTCTTAACCCAAAATTTTCTAAAACCTCACCTCCCTAGAGGCTAGAACCATAAACCCCAAACTTTAAAAACCTTGAAGATTCAAATCCCCAGCCCCAAACCCCTACAAACCTCTAAGCCAAAAACCCTCAAGCTTCTGGCAAGACGGACCGACGGCGACCGGGACAACACTTTCATGAAGGTCTTGGTGCGCAAGGCCTTGAACTGAATGCTTCAGGCCTAATCATTCTAATCCCCCAATACGTGCCCCAAAATCTATATGCGCCATAGGCAAGATTTCTTATGGGTGGCGGGGAATGTTCTATTCGAGGGGGAGGCTATTAGTTAGAGAGGCTATTAGTTAGAGCAGGTTCACCTCAAAGGGCATACGGCCGTGGTCTGAAGTAGAGTCAAATGGAAAAGCACATGGAACATGAAATGGGAATTACCATATCATGGTATTTACGTTTAGGGTTTAGGTGCTTTTGCAATTTGAATACAGGTTCATTTAGGGTTTATACGGTGTTTCCTGGGTTTTTGTTAGGGGGGCTGAGCTAATTTGATGCAATCTTGGGTTTTGGGGGTCTTAGGGTACAGGGCTTCGAGGCAAACGGAATATGACATGAAAGCTGGGGTGATACAGGGGTGGTATAGGCTCTCCCCGCTACTTGCAGGATGAGGGACTTAGTGAGTAATGTCTTTGGTTAGACTTAAACGAGTTAGGAGGTAAGGCTTCAGGGTCAGCAGGACGTAACACGTCGGCTTTCGATTCGATAGCTGGGGTCAATATAATATGGCCTATACGGGTTATGGTAACTAACTTGATTTTGACAACCCTCCAAGTAGTCGATTACCATGAGACCCGGTGCCCCTATTACACATTGCATTTGACTGATATGCACGAATACTTGTTTCTAACAGTCGCTATATGAGCATGAAATAAGCCCCAAATCCCGCATCAAATTGTTTGGGCGCCTACAGTAACGCTTTTAGACATTAGTAGGTCCCAAGCACACGCGGCTTTGTTTTTTGCTGGAGAAGTGCTACCTTCAACTGCATCAAACGCTGAAGGACTGCAGCGTCCAAATTGACAAACTTTCCGTAGCATTCCGATCATGGCCCTGTACACCAAGTGTACAGGGCCATGATCAGCATTCATCAGCAGCCGCAGGAGCCGGCTAGTGTGCATGATAAGCCTTGGTCTACATTGGTCATATCCGCAGGTGTGACAGTGTCTTGAACCGCCTGTGTGGGCAGGTAACCCTTTTTCACATGGTGTTATACTTATCACTTAACTTTACCAAAAACACAAACTTTATGTTAGTGTCTCCATGGCATTTCGTCCTCCGACGAAAACATCACCCCTCTTGGAGTGAGTCAATCCTGGCACTGTTAGGAATGCTGAGGGTTTAGGGATGGCTGCAGGCTTCTGAGGGTTCTTTGCGCGTCCACAGGACCCAGAGCAGTGTTTGAATGTCACGAGATCAGATAAGAAGCCTGCAGCTGATGATGTGGGCGGGGTGCCTTGTAGGTCTCTTATTAGAAGACTTGGCCCCGATTCCCATTCATGTTTGCAGCGAACTTCGGATTTGGCACGGCAGGCGCAGGCAGTGGCAACGCTGGCTCCACGGAGGCAGTGCTTGCTATGGGGAAGGATTTCGGGCTTGGGATTCACAGCTCAGGGCGCAAGGGCGAAAATACGCGCATGGCGCTTGCATAGGGAGCTGCACTGTCCTGCTTGCGCACGATTTATGATAGGGTTTGTTTGCATCATGCGGCGGTGGGCAGAGTTGCGTTTTGAGGAAGCTTTTGAGGAATTTGAGAGTTTAGACCCCACCCCCCCGCACTCATCGCCACCATGATGCAATGGCCAGGATTCTTTAGTGCATTAGTGCATCAGGGATGCAACCTGCTTTCAAAGAATCCCACCAACAATGTCACAGGTGTGCTGGGCACATGAGCTACATTTTGGAACCTGGTGGCACGCCAAGCTATGTTTACTTCATGTTGTAGGGAACTGACTGTGCCATATCCTCATACCCATCACCGCTGTCCTTGAACACATCCAACGCTAAACCTTGACTGAAAGTCCTGGACTCAGGCGTCGTGCTATGCCATTCCCCCTGAACCCAAGCGGCAAGTCGGGCTGTGGAAGTATGCTGACGCAGTTTGGCTCGAAAGCAAGGAGGATTCAGGGGTCTATGTGTATTAGGTTGGGGGCTACTACCACAGGCACAAGCTGCTGCTTTTGGAGTTCAGCCATCTTGGCAAGAATGCAATGCATTTTGACTTGTGGTGCCCGGGGATAAAGCGCGAACATTAACTTTCCGAGGCTACTCCAGGGTTTCATTCCCAGAGCAAGATGCTGGCCGTGTCCTGTACTTGCTGGGCGGACGACGATCAACCTGCTCAAGCAGCCGATGCCGGTGAGGCGACGTAGCACACGTTGGCATGTTCAGATCAAGCTATGCTCCCCCCTTCGTCCCCACTTCACGCTCGATGCTTCCCCCAACCCAACGACGGCGGACCTGGCGCTTGAGGCCATTAAAACAGCGGGAAAGTTGGCATTTCCCTCAGGGCCACTAGCGCCGGTGTGAGAGTAAACACGAACGGAATCCTTGGACTTGGTAAGTGGGTAAGATTTTTTCCACTTGGGGCAGGCCACTTCCAACCTAAGCCCCAGACTCACCTCAGGAGTAATCGGTAAACATAAAGCAGCTCCAAGTGAAGGGCGAAAGCAAGCAGAGCAGCATGGAGAAGAGAGAAAGAAAGAAACACACATTAATTTCTGATATTGCATATAGTCGTTTCCATGGTTGCTTCCTTGGAAAATGGCCATCATCTTTCCATGCTGATGGCCTTGCTTTTAATTTGTCCTGTTGTTGAAATTTGATTTTGAGGTTGTCCCCGGGCTGCAGAAGCCCAGCCAAGTACCCAATAATTACGTACTTGGGTTTGGGGTAATAGTGATTACAGTAAAGGTTTTGGGTAGGTATTTGATCATTAAGTACTTGGACCCTTGGGGGAGGCAAGTATCTTCTCCACTGCTCCAGTAGGGCTATTTAGAGAGGACCTCCATCATAATAATTTGTTCGCCCCTGATTTTGCTGGGTCATCAGCATCTTAACTTGCTGGCAGTATACAATCCTTAACAGCTCCGTATCGTGTCACATCATCTAAAAAGCAGTTTGACTCTATTTTCCCTTTGCTTCAGGATCTGGACCTTAGACCAGGGCGCAAAACAGCGTGTGTGTTTTTCGTTAAACCCTATCAGTTTGACATCCCCAGCGCTTCAGGCAAAAAGAGTAGCCCGGTAGCCCATGGAGGTGCATGCCCATGATGCGGAGATTGCCCGCCTGTTATCAGTTGGCCTTGCCCTTTCCCCACTGATCCCTGAAGTGTTTGTTCTCGTATGATATACCTTCTCTATTGTTTGTTTCAGTTTGTTTCTAGCCAGGATAGTATGCACATTAGGACAGCAACCGGTGGGGTGCAGATGCCAATGCCCAGGACCCAGACATTGACGACGAATCAAGTACTGAAGAGGACACGAGCCAATTTCAATTATGATTGACTTGAGCTGAGAAGCTGCGGAAGACAATGCAGGTGGTGTGCGGCCTATTCTAAATGTAGACAGATTTAGTATCCCATGGGCCCGCGGCAACGGGCCATCCACTTTCTGCAGCAGACATCAAAGAAGCCTGACCGCAAAAGCGCGTGGTCATTGGCCAAACAGGTTGCGGGCTTCGCTTGGTTTTCTTGAGGCATCTCCGAAGAACGTGATCTCTTCTTCAGAAAATGTTCTGTTGACTCGCCTGGAGGAGTTAGCCCTCCACACCGAGCACCTCCCCTTGGAACCTGTTGTCTCGGCGACTCAGATTCGCGCGAAGGAGCGGAAACCAACTATTGACAGCATGCAGAAGGACCGCCCCATGTGTAGGATGTGAAGGATTTTTGTTAAGCTGTGTTCTGGACGTCAATTTTGCATTACAGCAGGTAGAGCCGCTGAAGCTTCATCTGCCAAGTGACACCTTAGTTGATGGGTCTCTGGTGCGTACAATTAACGGATTTGAGGTGGAGAGCTACGCGCTGTACCTCTGCGTGAACGATGATGAAAGGCATAGTGCAAAAACACGGGCAAACACGAACCCCTGTCCCAACCGTGTATACATACGCTGCAAGCCTCCTACCAGGCGGCTCAGACAATTATAGTCAGCTTGAGCGTTGGCTCTGGTACAGTAGGAGAGTTTTGTATCCAGAGACTGGACCAATCTGAGATCAAAGAATTTTCAAAATATTTGGGGTGACAGGGTTGGGTGTATCTCGGGCTGAGCTGGAAGGATTGTAATTGTTCTGTTCAAGTCAAGACTGCATGATTCAGGCCGTAGAATCCGTAGCCGTAGAATGCTGCAGATCAAGGATTATTTTGGGATGCTTCTGCTGCAGGAGTTGGTCATCGACGACGGCGACTTGCTGGATGGAATGCAGCGAAGCCACCCGCGATCTCGGCAGATCACAGTGGACAGTATGCAGCTGGGATCTCAACTTGTGAGGGCTCGCTTCAGGCAGTAGGGATTTGCACGAGCCTTTCGTACATGGCATCAGAAGGTCGGGGGGGGGGGGAAGGAACTGGGAGTATGTGCATGTATTGTTTCTGCTGACTCCCTTTCGGAATAAGCTCTTAGATCTTTTGTTTTGGATTTCCGCCACTGCAGTCATGGACATACGAAGTCACGTAAGTTTTGGCCGAACAAATCGGTACTTCCTTCCTTGGCGTAGCTCGTTTGGCTAGCCTTAATTTCCGCCCGCCCGCTTTCCTTATCCTCCTTTACTGGCTACTGTTGCTGCCTCTCAGCTTTTCAATGTCCAAAATTCCCGGCCGTTTAACCCCTGGTGCAGGGCGGTCATGACTCATGACGTTTTTGCAGCTGCAATGCGACATATACATTTCCTGAATGGGCAATGAACCATACAGCCCTCTTTCAAAACCTACAGAACTTCACAGCCACCTAAAGAACCCAAGTAAACCAAGCACGCATCCAAACCACAACGCACTACATTAACCATCATAAACCTTAAGGCTCAGCAATGCGGCGACATCCCCCGGCAGCTGCCTGACAAGCTGTGGAAGCTTGAAGTTGCAGAGCCTCAGTCTCCCAATCTTTTGTAAGCGTTGAGTGGTCTCTCGACAAGAGGTTATGTCGGGATTGCACGGGCATCTAGTAGAAGATTCCGGCACAAGCTCGTCGCGTCGAGTTGTTGTGGTTCATTTCTGAGCCGGGGAGATGTAAGCCGTGGATTGGGTTGACAGTATTAGTGCTACCCCCGAATGTCAGTACTCCTTCAGATTCCTTGCATTTCGTTCAATGTTCACGGTGTGGATATCCCAAGAAGTGTCCTGCAGACATGGCCTGCGTTTGAGCCAAAACCCTGACTGCCAGACCATACGCTCGTGCCCAACAAGAAACTGCCGATTTAAACACCTGCGCGCAGCAAGGAAGATGCAAAGCAAGACGTTCTTGGAGGTGAGACTGGCCAACCCTAAGCACGACATGTTCACCAGTCAGCCTTGTCCGTCTAGAGCTCTGCTCCCAAAACTGATCTCCTTCAGCCCAAGGCGCTGCTGATTCCCATATATTATTGGTTCTGGACAGCGCAGTGCAACCTCAAAGCACCCGAGAATTTGTATGTCGCAACATAGGGACTGGTGCCTGTGCCATGTGCCCCCCAAAATCTGAGAGACGCACGTGAGGATCATGTGGGACAGGTTCAATTCACGGCTCTCTCGGGTTCAGGATTTGGAGATTACACATGCGCAGGGATGATGACAAGTGATCACAGGTTTAGCTTTGTTCTGCATAAGGAGAAATGCATGTGAAATCCCAGGCAAAAGCCCATGCAGCAGTCTCTACAAATGGTCAGGGTCATTGTTGCAGAGAGTTGTTTATTTTCACTACGTAAATTATAAGGAGTACGAAGCTGTCGACCAGAGGTCAGACACCCGCAGATCCGCACAAGTGTCCAGGTAGAGGTCGAGCTCCTTCGAGCCATCTCGCTCCGCATGTCGCTGCTGTTAGCCCCTCAGGCCGGGCGGGGTGGGCTAGTCTCAAGAAACTGAGTTGAACGGCCTTGGGGTCTTGGGGCAGCAAAGCTTGGGCGAAAGGGCTTTAGGGTTTTTGGCTAGGGGTTCAAGATGGAGTGCGGGTTTTGCTTGAGGCTTAGTTGTACGAACAGGGGATCCTGTGTGGAAAGCCAGGCTAGGCCTGAATTTCTTGAAACTTTGATCACATCTTGTGGGCATGTTATAGGAGCCCACCTCATCATGACCCACCCGTAGGCTTCTTTGATGAAGCAGTTTGGAGCCGCACCTTCCTCCTAAGCCAAGAAGCCGGAGACCTGGAAGCCGCAGATCTGAGACAGCGGAGCGCGAAGCTCCGAAAATTTGGGCACGCCAAGATCTCAGTCCTTGAAACCCTGAACCCTGCTATACGAATATTGTATTGTTACGACTATATTGCTACTAGATTATTACTACTTCGAAAGAGGCATAGACGTCCTTGGGAAAGCTCACGTTTCCAAGGCTTTGAATACCTACTGGCCATGGTTCCTGACACCACAGCCCGTATACTTCAG